AATGAATTTAATAAAAGGATCTTTATCAACTATTGAAAAAGCTAGTTAACTTTTAACGATTAATTTGTATAGATCATGGTTTAAAGATTTGATACATTCCTTTCTGACTTTATCTGTTATTGAGCATATGATGCAAGTAACTTTAGAATTTTTGCACTGAAAATCTCTGTAAAGATCCAGATGTTTACTTTCAAAATGGTGTAAGATTGTTGACAGAGATGTACCTGCACTCCATTTACTAGGTTCGTTGTCAGAATTGTCAAGACATATTTTGCAAATGTGAGTGCCATTTTCATTACTTTTAAGGTAATCATGAATAGGCAATGTTTTTTTTTTTGATTTTTTTGAACTACTAATATTTTCTTCATTTGAAAAACTATAATTATTAGTAGGTTCATTACTAATATTATTTTCATTTGGAGAATTAAGAACTAATAAAGAAATAGGGCAGAACATGATTTTAGAGATTTTAATATTGTAAAAAAATTTTTTTAAAAAATGATATGTAATATTAACAAAGAAAAATGATAGTCTTTTATTTGTTTTATTTGTTACATACTATAATAAAAAAAAATTTAATAAACCTTCATAAAAATAAAAGTTTTTATTAAATAATTAAATTGCAAAATTAATATACAATTAATTAATGTGAAATTAATATTAATAATTCTGCAAAACTCTTGCAAGACTAATTCTTAATAGCTCTCTTCAAAGTCTAATTTTAATGGTTCCCTCTTACAAGACTAGTTCTCCCCTGCAAGACTACTTTTTAATAGTTCCTATCTGCAAGACTGATTTTTAATAGTCCTCTTGCAAGACTAATTTTTAATAGTCCTCTATGAAATTTTATGGATTGGTGTAAATTAGCTAATCAAAATGACTAATTACTGGGACAAAGGACATGTCAACCTCTATATTCAGACTTTGTCTGAAGTCAACTTCGAGTTGGTTTTAAAAAGTCTCTAAGTAGTCAACTCAAGGACTGGGTCCTACAAGCTTTTCACAGCCCTATTCTTTCCTAATACCAAAAATTAACATTTCAATAATCAAATATACAAAATAGAATTGACTAAATTTGGTCTAATCTATCTTTAACAAATATCGATTACACAAATATAATTACTACATATTAACTAAACTCAGATCACTACTTAATTACAATTGAAATATTTGCTATTCTTAACAAACCAAAACTGACTAAACAACAAAAAAAAAGATGTTTTTTTTGAAAAAATACTACTAAAGAAATTTTTAAAAATTATACAAACCAAACTATCTGTAACATATTATCAATTGCCTCTCAGATTACCTCTATAACTAATCAAAACCAACTTAATCTTATATAGAACAAAATTAACAAAGTCTTAATCAAAGCTGCAACAAAACACATTCTTTTTAAAAATATTAAAACTATGTCTAAAATTAATAACAATCCTTTTCCTAAACTACCACCTCTATTCTATCAATACAAACAAATTCAATATCTAAAAAACCACTTTAACTTTTTAAACTATCACTCTTTACTTCAAAAATACCAATCAGACTATCTTAACAATTCTCTGCAAACAATATTACCTTCTCTTGATCAAATTAAAAATGAATTTATTTAAGTTAAAACTGCTCTTAACTATCACCAACAACAAACAATTTACAAGAATATTAAACAAAAAATAAAAGAATATAACCAACTTTTTACAAACTCTCCTAAACTCTTCTACAAAAAAATCTTAGAAAATAACATTGCCTACATATAGATCAGCTATTACTAAATAATACACTTCTTACAAATCATAATGAAATCTGTTCTGCAATTCAACAACACTTTATTGAATATTTTAATGAAAAACCTCTACCTCTTATTTCACTATTCTCTAAATTCTATGAACTATATCAACTGCACTCTGAACTCAAAATTCATTATCAAACTCTTTTCTAAGAAATAACAAACCAAGAATGAAATAATACTATCACTAATTTACCAAATCAAAAAGCTGAAGGTCTCTTTGAGATTTGCTATGAATATATCAAATATGCTAGCTCTCAATCTCAAAATCTTTTTCAACAATTTATAAACAAATATCTCCAACTACAAAAAGTACCTATTGCCTGAAAATCTTCAAATCTCTTTCTAATTCTAAAAAATCTAACTGGGATTTTACTCTTAATCAAGTTCATCCAATATCCATTATTAAATCCTTTAAAAAAACCTTTACAAAAATTTTTACTCAATGTCTAAACAAAATTATCTCATCCAATAACCTACTCTTAGATCTCAATTTTACTGCAACCAAAAACTCATCTACTTACATCTCTATTCAAATTCTTTACAACATAATTGAATACTACAAACTTTATAATAAAGAAGCCTGGATCCTCTTTCAAGATATATCAAAAGCATTCGATTAAATTAATATCCTCTGACTTTAGGACTCTTGTAAAAGAATTGGCATTCCAAAAAAAGGAATAGATCTAATTACAGAACTATATACAAACTGAACTACAAAAGTTATTATAACTTATAGACTCTCAAATCCAGTTCATCTAAAATCAAATATAGAACAAGGAGAAACATACTCTTCATTATTATGAAAAATATACTATAATCTCATTCTATTTTTTATTTTACAAAACTTTTATAATTAACTACTTCATATATCCTTATTATTACCAAAAGATCTTATACAAAATAACAATCCTACTCCTATTACCATATCTCCTCTGGCCTTTATAGATGACACAGTATGGCATTATGAAAATCCACAAATCCTACAATAATACATCCCTATTATATCAACTTAATAATATTGAAATCAATTCAAATAAATCAGACCTACTACATATACATTCAAAATCTTGCAATATACTCTTATTTTCTTTATTCTTTAACAACCAACCAATTATATCAAGAAAACCTGAAGATATAATTAGGTATCTTGGAATATATTACAATAAAAATGATACAACTAAACCTATTATGAACATAATCAACAACAAAATCAAAAACTTTTTTCAACTCATCAAATACAAAAAACTTTTACTATCACAAATATCCTTTCTTTTTAATCTTGTTCTACAACTTTCTCTTAAATATTTTCTTCAAATCACTATCATTAACACATTAAATTAAATCAAACTTTCAAGATTACTTTTTATTCAAACAAAAAAGATGCTCTTCCTAGCAAGAAATACCAACAATATTACCTTGACCAACCTACTTATCTTCAATCTTCTAACACTTAATAATATTATTTAAAAAGTTAGTGCATCAAATATCAAACATATCTTTAACTCCAATACACTTCTTCACAATATTGGAACTATTCATATTAAATTATAGTTGACCAAAATATGGTATTCTGAATTATTAACTAATATACTTATTAAATACTATTATAAAACACATAATTTTACTTTAATATTTCATTTCTCACAACTCACAAAAAACAATATCATACTTTTTAATATTATACAAATCTCAAATAACACTACAATACAACCAATTAATTCTCATCTAATATATAACATACTTCCTTTAAACCCATCTATCTCAATGTTCAATAGTCTTAAAAACAATAAAATTCTTTATATTGAACAAATTACTATTGCTAATAATCTTTATTTTCTTTCCTGAAGCAATATATATCTATGAACAAATAAACCAATAAAAGGTTGTCAACCTTCTTGGTTTACTCAAATCCAACAAATTGTATATAATAATACAATTTTTGCCATCTGGCTTTATCTAAATCTACCAAATACTAACTCATTCTTAAACTCTTTAGACCTTTTTTACATACTACCTAACCTTCAACACTTTTTACTTTTTTAATTATACTATACAAATAACTCAAATATTATCTTTTCACAATATAACAATATTTAACATCCTTTATACTATACTATAGACAACTACTCTACAAACCAATCACCTTACCATTACTAACAAATTTTAACTGCTTTAATCTTCTCTATCATCAAATTAAAATCTACAATAACCCTCTTATTCTACAAATTAACTACAAAGAAATTTTGACCCTAATCCATATATCAACCAACTACACTACACTGCTTTCT